AGTTTAGGCCAGCCACGTAGGAAGGTGTGCTCTGGTTTTCTGGTTGTGGTACTCGTGTGGTGAGGGCTGGCTGCTAGCCGAAATTGGTAGATAGTAATTGACGTCAATGTGTACAACCCCAATATTGGTCATGAGAAAAATAAGAACAAAGACTGACTCAACAATTAATCACAGCAGACTTTGCGTAGGCGGATACAATTTGCAGATAGATAATCTGACATTCAAGAAACGGCCACAAAGAGATGAAAGATTAACGTTCAGCGAGAAACAACCAATCAGAAGACTGCGTTTGTTTGCTTACAATAATCTATAATAATGTACATAAAAATCTATAAATATGTGTTGATTTCCTAAATAAACGATCTGTTGCCTGGCCCTTGTCTTCTGTTGTTACACTCGGGACGGTAAACACCAATGGCTGGAGACAACTGGCGATATGGCTCAAAATCGTTCTCAATGGCGCAGATGCATCCACTCCTTGTGACTTATAATACCCAATAAAACTATATGGTTCTTCGACATTACTATTCTTTTTGCCTTATATCCCTGGTTACTGTCTCTATTTTCCATTTCTTTTTACTTTCTTCTCTTGCTTTGTGTGCTACATGGAGTGTGGCGACTTGAACTGCTGCACATCGGTGCAAAGTTCTATGTCGAAAACAGACAGACAGACAGGCTAACATGGAATAAGGCCATTATTATAACTATTGTAACGATAGAAGACGAGAGACTTGGTAAAGGAATGTTTATTTGGGATTTGGTATCACTATATAGCCGAATTATGTACACCCTTTTCTTCAAATCACCATTTGAACAGATCTTCCTTGTTGTGCTGTTTCTGGCCTTCCTTCATATTGTGTCTCTTTGTGTTCCTTTCACGTCTCCCATGTATCTCTACAACGCTGTATCATTTACTTTCTCTGACATAAAATCTATCCCCCTCCTATTTGATGTGTTTTATGCCGATGAACATGTCTTCATATTTTATACTACTGATAAATCTTATCAGTAGCACACACCACACTATTAATACTCTTTGTACAGCCTTGTGATTAAGTCGTCTGTTCTTTTATCGAAAACATGACAATTTCAACTGGACAGAGAAATGTGGTAATTAGTTAAGTAAATACCATGAAGTAGAATGACTTACTTGTCCATTTTTCAATCCTAGGAGTAGACATTCTTTATTTTGTAGACCACCTATTATACGAAGACATTTCACTGGACTATCAACTATCCATTCACGTTCTTTAATACCCTGAATAGAAAAGAAGAGTTATTAGAGTGGCTGCTCAACTCTGAACAACTACTGTGTGAATTTGAACTCTTTCATATTTTAAGAAAGTTATGACCTTCTTCACCTCTGTTTGTCTGGAAGTTTGTCATCATTTAGTATGGTTAGTGTTCAATCCATTTTAAGACTTGCCGCATTTAGCCACATATTTTTGGGATTGTTTTTCTCACTACTCACAATAAATGAGTAGTACTGTCACAGCCAATTAATGTTTCACATCATCGAATACTAAAGGAGCTAATACCATTATATCAGTTTTCAATGTAAATTCCAGAGCGTCCCAGGAGTGCGAACGCTCAAATGACCTTGAACGCATGCTAGTGGTTGGCTCAGGTGCAAATTTCACCCAGATCACGTATTTCAATACTGTCTGGATAATGGATTGATAGGACGTACTCGAATATGTAGTTGCGTGCTTCAATGAGCCTGCAACCGTATTCACAGGTCATTGATGGATATATATTTAGATGTACGGAGTGTAGGAAACGAACAAGTGTTCGTACTGGTAAGTGACACTCTCAGTTAATTGTCTTCTAGGAACTTTCTTTGCAAAATCGAAACTTTCTTTGACGAATATACTGTTTCTTTGCCATTACTGGATTTTGAAGTCCGAAGTGAGGTCAGCTGCCGCTCAGATAGAAAATACGTTGACGTCTACTTTGCAATGGTTTCAGTTTTGTCGAGATTTAGCATCATGGAAAATGAACAGTATTACACAAGTGTTGGGATGAATCCGTGTTATCGTTCACATCGACGAAACAGTGCTTATAAAGAAGAAATACAATCGCAGATGTGCTAGAGCGAATAACGTTTGGGTATTGGGAATTTATGACACCCAAATTCAGAAAGGATTCATTGAACTTATTCCAGACAGGAGTGCCGACACTCTTCTGCCTATTATTCAAAGACTCGTTTTGCCTGGCACTACTATACACACGGATGAATGGGCAGGATATAACCGATTATCGGATTTAGGATATATACACAACCGAGTTAACCATTCCGATGATTTCGTCGATTCCAGAACAGACACTCATACTAATTCAATAGAGGGTTTCTGGGGAAGATTAAAAAATAGAATAAGAGCTATAAATGGCTCTCAAAACCAAGTTATTTTTAATCACCTGGATGAATACATGTATAGAAATTGGTTTAATTTAAAAACTGACACTCCCCATTATAACTGAGACATATTTTTATCTAATATCAGAGAAAAATACCCTGTTTAATGCTTTTTCATGCATTTTTATGTAAATATACGTAATTTTTTGTGCAAAAATCCCTCATTCTTCTGATTGGTCGGCTCAAGGTCACTCGTGCGTTCGCATCCCTTGGGACGCTATAGTAGAACTTTGCCAATTCCAGTGTACTGGTTCACCATCATCCTTGTTATACACGCTGCTTTTAAATACATAGTTTTCAACTACGCAGACATTGATACCACCATAGAAAAATTCGGCAGTAGGAATTCTCGTTATATTATTCCGTAATCTGGCAGCAAACACAGAATCCAGATTTCTTGTAGATTAGTACCCATCATCAAAGATCCTGACTCACTTCACCATTCAGTTTTATGGCTATCAGATATCTCGAGAAGTAAAATACATCCAGCCAGCTAATCAATAACTCTGACACTTAAGTTCAACCACAGTATTAACTGATCGATAAAATTCTATCAACACTGGCGTTTGAAGTGTATATGCGCTACACAGATTTATTTGGTAAAACACATAGTGATGAAATAGTATTATTAATTGGATGACGTTTTGAGCAGAGTTTATTGCTCACAATCATATCAATGCATTAACCTCACACAGAGAAGGAACACCAAAAGCTCTATGTAGGATTCTTAATAAGTTTGGAATTAGGGTGGTATTTAAACCAACCAACCAACTCTCACCCAGAGACAAACCCTACTGGCTTAAGGACTCAATAAATTCAGTTAGGAATTGGATGATTGTGAGGTCAATTACATAGGCAGACTAGTAGATCAGGGTCATCTGGATTATCGGCAGATAGGAATTTAGCCAAAGCTAGAATGATCGACACCGCTAAGTTAGATAATCTAGAAGAAAGCTCATCCATTGTGATTCACCCACACACAATAGGTTGCGACAGAGTAAAAGTATTTAAAAGTAGTATAGTTAAGTGGAGAGAGAGAAAGAGAGACTGTGGTGAGAGCTGTCTGCTAGCCAAAATTGGTAGACAGCAATTTACGTCAATGTTTACGTCCCAAATCTTGGTCATGAGAAAAAAACAAGAACAAAGCCTAACCTTGAGGAATTCAACAACCAATCACAGCAGACTTTGCGTGGGCGGAGACGATTCTGCAGATATATCACCGAACTGTGTAAGAAACGGCCACAAAGAGATGACAGAATAACCTTCAGCAGGAAAACAACCAATCAGAAGACGCTGCTTCTCTGCTAACAATAACGAATAATAATGTACATAAAAATCTATAAATATCTGTTGATTTTCTCAATAAACGATCTGTTTCCTGGCCCTTGTCTTCTGTCGTTACAAGACTAATCATAGGATCTTTCTCCATCGAATCAACACCAAAAATGTGCAATCAAAATGACCCAACTCCTATCTTGGATATATGCATAAATCGCAATGAATATCAGGAGGAAGTGTTAATACACTGATAGAATTGTGAGCAATAAAATGTGCTTGAAATGTCAAACATTTACTAATACTTTATCACTGTGTGTTACATCAAATAAAATCCACTATTATGGCATTATATTACATCACAGAGTTCAAATCCTACTCGGTAACGAAGTTTGTACTATTCTTTTTTCAGGTGATCTGTTGACTAACAGAACTCCTTTATAATTCTGATTAAATGACAAAATTATCAAACGTGTATATCAAAAACCATCAAACTTCATTTCTGCTAATGATCATAATCACATTCTACACATCAAAATAAATAATAATAAGTCGAGTCACAACACCAACAAGAAACCATCATCAAAGACTACAAGAAAATTCATCCTACCATATATAAGATGAAATATCTCTGAAATAACAGCTAGAATATTAAAACCGTTTGAAGTAGATATAGCACACAGGCCAGTCAACCAGCAAGCACAATCACTTCATTCGATATTGTGCAAACCGAAAGATCCAACAGAAAAAGAAGATAAAATTAATACCATTTACAAAATAAACTGTATGAACTATAACAGACATTACATCGGTCAACAAAGTAGGCGTCCCCTTCGAATCAGAATCCAGGAGCACAAATTAGCTGTAAAATGACATGATATTTATTCTTTGGTACCAATGCATGGAGACACTTGTAGACACAAACTGTATTAAGAGAATATCGAAATTTTAAACAAAGGGAAGAGCAGAAGTGCCAGAGAATTCCTAGAAGCCTGGTACTTAAGCAAATCAGCGATTAACAAATATGTTAACATAGACCAAGTAAATCACATGTCGAGAAAGTTCGAAATCTAAGTCAATAAAAAATGATCCATACAGATGTAAATCGACTACCAGTCACTAAGATGGTTATCAGGAGACACAACTGTATCACTCATGGAGAATTTAAATCAGTTCATTTTATGCTAAAACTAGAGCTGAATATGTTGTCCAGAAGGACGATGAAAGCTCCGCAATTAAACCAACCAGCTCAGAGAACACAACTAATTACACATCAAAAGAAAGTATGAGATGTTTTCAAATAACTCACCTGGAAATTTATACACGTTAAACAAGATTCATAACAAATAATCAGACTGTTTGTAACTATGGCTAAATGATGACAATCGAAATTTTGGGTTAACTTCTCACGAACTCGATAATGCATATCTCTGAGATCATCACTAGGTGATTCATAAATTAGAATTTTATCTGAAAGTTGAATCTACAAAAGAATTGAAAAAATACAATTAACAGTGAATGACTAGATAAAATTAAAATGCTGCTTCTATTAAAGCTGAATATTTTCCCTTTACAACAGTGAACTACTTAAATCTTGTAAGTAATACTGTTGCCCTCGTTTGAGGCCGAGCTTATCAGTGGTGTATCCAAGGGACGACATTATCATTATTATTATTCCCCTAGGTTCCGAGGGGAACATAGGACTTCAACAAAACGTTTCATGCTGTTCTCTGCTGCCGTCTTTAGCTGACCCGACGATTGCTCATAGCCTTCATCCCTTCCTCACACGATCCCATCGGATCTCCTACCCGTCGTTTCTCATTAAGGTTCCACTCGAAGGCCTGGTGTGCCCCAGTTCTCACGGAGGCCCAAGTTGCCCTTCTTTGGTAGTTTGACAAAGCAGCCTTTCTTCTAATCAGTAGACATCTTTCCTTCCTTCTAAATGTTTGGCAATAGTGGCGTCAGCATATCCGCTACACTCTGTGGGTCGTTTTTCAGTGCTTCAGGAGGAATTCTGACCGGTCTAACTACCTTCAGTAGCTTGATTGCATTCAAGACCTCTGCTTTTGTTGGGGGAATTGGTGTTCACTGGTGGTTTTGTGGTTGTTGGTGCTATTTCTGGACTGGTTTCAGGTGATGGTCAATTCAACAGTCCTTCGAAGGGATCAGCCTGACGTTTCTTTCGCTTCTCCTCTTTGGTAATTAGATCCCTTTGACCATCTTTAATTGGTCTCACCTATGTTGATTACTTTCCATATAGAGACTTGGTTATTTGATATAATGTTCTCGGGTCTCTTTGACCTGTGGTCTGTTCTGCTTTAATTGCCAACCAGTGTGTTGTAGAACTGTCTTTTGTCTTTCCTAGGACCCTTCTTCACGTCTTTATTGAGTGCAATGTACATTGAACTCAACTTCTTCTGTTAGTAATATAACTACACAAAGATTATCACAGCAGTGAGATGTGTAGTGAAACGTGTGTTTTTGATTTCTTAAGCAATGAATAGTGCGTTCAACTGACAACAGATTTTAGTCTACTTCTCAAGCTTATTGTTAAATCGCTAGTACTTCATTCTATTTTCTAGCTGAAAGTGCAACTTCTATTGCCATAGTTTTACATTAGAATAATGATAGAGCTCTCGACAGTGTTACAAGAATTACACAAACGCCAATATATTCTAGATGTGTAAGTCTATCAAGCCTTATAATTACTCATTATAATTATTCCCTTAGGTTCTGAGTGGAACACAGGGCTTCAACGGAACATCTCCATTTCAACCTCTTCTCTGTAGCAGTCTTTATAGCTGGCTCCACAGTTGCCCATTAGCTCTAATTTTCTCTTCACAAGATCTCCTCCATGTCACCCTAGGATCTACACCCAACTCATCGTCTAACCTTCAGGTTCCAATCGAGAATCGACCTGACACGCGATGTCACTCAACAGCAGTCTCCTCAGTGTGTATCCGATCCACTTTCATTTCCTTCGGCATATTTGTTAGGTAATAGCTTCTTGGCTAGTTCATTGCCAGAGATTTTTGTTGCTAATTCCATTTGATCCGTTTGATATTCAGTATGGGGTAAAGGAGGCAGTTGTTGATAAAAGTCTCCAGAATTCTGGAAATGATTTACGTGACATGTGCGTCATGTCTGCGAACCATATAGAAGAACTGATTTGACATTTGTGTAGAAGATCGGGATCTTGTTCCGTACGCTAAGTTCAGCAGATTTTCACACTGGTTTCAGAGTGATGAAGGTTTGTCTTACTTTCTCTAGCAATCACACGTTTGACATCTTAAACTGTGCCGCCTGTAATTGAAACAGTACTGACTAGATGGGTGAAAGAAGTGACCTCCTTCAAATCCTTCCCGGTGATGGTAATTCGTACTTGTCGTTGTGGTGGTTGGTTAAGTATCTTCATTACGCTAATTTATTCAGTACAGATGATGCGTTCTGTACTTCGAGACTAACCAAAAAGATCAAATAATCTTCTTTATTTTCAATCTCACCAAAGAAATCTATGATAATGCTAATTTCAAGTTTGACTTCAATTAGAGAGCCAGTGAAAACCAAGGACCAGCAAACCGCTGTTTCATTGTATTTTTGGACCCTTCATGAGTACGCACCCACGACCCTACTGTTTGAGATCAAACCCACGATGTTCATGTCACAAGATGAGCTCGTTGAACATTCAGCTATTGGGACGGAATACAGTAGCTCATGAATTCTAACTCATGCCGACATGCTAATTGCTTTCTTTATTTATGGTGATATATTAGATCTTCTTCTGAGGTGTAGTGCATCTGTGGACGAACTTATTAATTTCAACAAGCCTCTGTCTAATTCCATTTCTCTTCCTCTTCAGAAATGTTGAACTGCCAACAAGCTATCCATTTTTCAATAAATGTACCATCCAGGAGTTTACTGTCCTCTCTTAAGTGCTTTTTTATCTATAAATCCTTTATTATCTCAATTGTTTCACTTGATCTCTAGTTATTACATTAACTACCCTGACAAGTATCATGCATCATATTGGTTTCGATGTTTACTGATTATTTCAGGACCGATTCAAAAGTATTGGATAAAAGATTAGGAAAAGGTTTGTTATCTCCAACAATTTCAATAATACACAGGTATCTGAATAACGAATAGGCGATACTAATCAGCCTTAAGTTAGAAAGTGATTATTACGGAACAGAAGAAATGAAATTTAAATCTCTAAACAGTTTCCAGCTACATAGTGTTCTGGTCAGACGAAAACATGGCACCAGTCAATGAAATCCACAACAGTTAGTCTAAGCCACGTAGGAAGATGTAGACTTCCTGGGTGGGGTCCTCGGGACGGCAAAAACCAATGGTTGGAAACAATTGGTGACATGGCTCAAAATCGTTCTCAGTGGCGCAGATGCATCCACTCCTTGTGACTCATGATTTCCAATTAAACTGTTTCGTTCTCCGTTATTATTATTCCTTTGTCTCACACCTCTGTTTACTGTCTATATTATGCATTTCTTCTAATTTCTTCTCTTGCTTTGTATGCTACATGGAGTGTGGCGACTTGAACTACCGCACATATGTGCAAAGTTCTATGTCAAAAACCGACCGACCGACCGACATAGTATTCTTATAGCTGTTGAGACTACACATATTATAAATATACAACAACAACTTGTGAAAGTTTCATTAAAACAGAATTTATTAACCTGAAGACTGTACAACACCAGACGTAAAGTAGATACCCTGTGAATTACTTCTTAGTTGTATTTTCTTGAAACATACATTTATTACATATGAGTAAAACTATAAAAGAGGAAATTTTAGTGTAACGGAATAGCTGTTTGTGAAATCTATCCCTAAAGACCCAATTATAATATCTGCATATTTCCACCTTGTAATAACTTTCCTCTTTTCTCCTCAGCTGTGTATCATTGTCCTAACGTTTGCATATCACCTACTGACTTAATCCTTATTATTTGTCACTGTTCTTGTATAATCACAAATTTAAACGTTTCTGTTTGCAGTTGTGTGATAGCACTCATAATGTGTTGTTCTGCGATTTTGAGTTTGTTTGAATTAGCTCAAGGTTAACCGTGGGGAATTCAAACTTGGAGAATTTTTTGGTGTGTGATACTTGTGGACAGAGTTTTGATTCCACTTTATTGTTGGGAATATTTTTCTTGATTCTAAGGTACTTCTTACAGTTGATTTCCGTTTAATCATTTTGTTGTATAGCTCTTGTTTTGTATTTGGGAAAGTCCTGCATCTGTATAGCTGTGAGGTAATTTTGACCTTCAATATTTTATTATTATTAAGTAGTATAGCTAATTTTATTGCAAATAACTGTCATTTTGTTGCCGTCAGGACATTTTCGGACTGTGAGTAACTCTCAAAGAAGGTTTAGTCAGCTATGTGGTAGAATGCAAAGATTGGTTTCCAGCGTTCAGACCTCAACACGTAGGTTTTGGTAGCTACGTATATTTCAGGCAGTAGGCAGTTGGATAGTATAGTCAGCTCCCGCTATATATGTGTGGATCATAACTTGCTACATAAAATATTTTTTGTTCCAGGTAGCCTAGTTCTAACCAAATTGACAAACACTCTGACTTTCTTCTTCCTAACTTATTGAATTGGAAAGCGCGCCACTACACCAAAACGACCATAGTTTAATTAAACAAGAATGAATCTTCTTGACATAATCAAAAACAAAACAAAACTCACAGCTAGCAGATTTTTGAATAATGATATCTTCTTCACATAATCCCTGCATTTAATACGTGCTAAATAAATAAATAAAGACAATAAAAATAGTATTTTAATAATATATGAGAATATGACGTTCTAAATCATGCTCATTGCTTTTTGTAATCAACCAGCCTCTATAGTATAATGATAGTTTTAGTGTATTCGTCTCCAAATTCAATGCATCACCCAACTGAATCATGCTTACAAAGGATGAAAGAACTAGAAGTTCGTTCTTATGCGCTAATCTCATACTGAGGATACTCTATCCTCGACCACGACTTCTAATAATTTTAATATCTTTGTTAAGTGAGAAAACAGAAGTATGAAGATGCTATAATGATCGATGCATTTAGCGGTATGTTTTGAAATAACACGTCTATCGGAGTCTAATTTAAGAAGAGAAAGTTACCCTATTTTGAAATGATTTATCTAACGAATATACTAAAGAAGAGTGAGAGAGATTTTGTGACAATCATCATTAATGTTCTAAACTTCAGGAACTCTACTTAAAGGCTGAGCTGGGCATGGGGCAATTGTCTAGGTTAATAAATTGAGAAACAGCTGTATATGAGTTATAAATAAATATATAAGTTTTCAAATGTTTCATCACAAACCGACGTTGGCAATAAAGAAGCATTGAAAACTCGGGAATAATGGTTAGCCTTGTGGCACTCGAGAAGTGGCTGAGTGATGACATGCTCGCCTGGTAACTTTTTATCCCATGGTTCGACCATCACTGAGGTCATGAGTACGCACTGTTAAACATTACTAAACTAAGATGAAACAGTTGGTTTCCAGTGGTTTTCTAACTGGTGTTGACTGACTGACTGCTTTCAACATAGAAATTTGCACAGAAGTGCAGTAGTTCGAGTTGATACGCCCCATGAAACACACAAAAGAAGACAAAAGAGATAAAAAAGACTCAAAACCACAATAGTAAGTACAAATGTTAGGGAGATTGAATAGTGAGTTGGAAAAACTCTAGGGTTTAGTGAATATGGTAGATTGCAAAGAGTGAATGCATTTGCGCCAATGAGAATGATTTTGAGCTATATCGCCAACTGTTTTTAGCTATTGGTTCTTAGAATCTCTAGAAAACCAACCAGGAAGCCCACACCTTCCTAAGTGGCTGGCTCAAACTAACCGTAGAAGATTTCAGGGACTGACAACAAGTTTTGGTTTGACCACCTCTAGCTCCTTTCTAACCTGACCACACGTCAGTTAACATTACCCATCGAGGAAGGCGATGGCTAGGCCTGTGTAACGCATGTCCTGATCATCTCAAACGATGTACCTTCACAACCTCATAGATTAACTTGCACCCCTTACTTACCATTTTGACGTTTAACCTCAATATTACTCACCCTATTATACTACCTAACACGGGAGATAGAACGTAGATACCTATGATCAGAGACAGCTAACTGATGTTGACATGTAACAAAATCTACCTTGAAATGTGGAAGACACTGATGGCGATATAAATGAGTAGATTGGATGCATTTATCTTCTAGGGGGAATAACACACATTCAGTTCCTCCTCTAATAAAATAAGCCATTGTGAATGTTTAAAAATTAATGAATCTTGAATGCACTTGATTGGCTTCTATTAGAATGGTTATGTTATCAAATGGCAGTTTTATTAAGTTAAATATTCCACCTTCAAGGAAGCATTTCTGATGATATCAACACATTCAGTCAAATGGAAGATTTAAATGCAGAGAATAAGGGCTTATACTTTTCAAAGGTGACCACTTTCGGATTAACTGAAATTCAATTCCTTCTCATCGTCCCATTTCTGCAGAGTGAATGAATACCAGAAGAATAAACTTTTATTGTGCTGACATTTTTAATAATACGAGTTATGCAAATTTACAACAGATTATAGAGAGCCTACTAAATCTGCATTTTATGGTTCGCTTTGTTTGTCAATAAGAACAGAATTCGTGGATTGCAAATTAATTTCTCACAATTAGCAAGTTGCACAGCTAGGGGAAGCGAAATTTTACTATTATTATTATTATTGTTTTCTTTAATTCCTAGAGGAACATAGGGCTTCAGCCGCCCACGTCTCCATTGCGTTGGGTTCTCTGCTAGAGTCTTCACCTGGCTCCAAGTCTACCCACATGCCTTCATCTCCTCTTCACATGACCTCTTCCAAGTCACCCTTGCACTGACGACCAACTCGCCACTTCCCATTCGGGTTCCACTCGAGTCTAGTGATGTCACTTGATGGTTTCCTCAGAGTATGGCCAATCCATCTCCATTTCTTCCTGCTTATTTGTTTCACAATCGGTTCCTGTTTGGTTCGCTCCCAGAGATCCCTGTTGCTGATCTTTTCTGGCCGGCCATCTGATCTTGAGTATTGAGCGAAGACAACTGTTAATGAAGGTCTGTAGTTTGTTTGAGGTGCTCTTTATGACGCGCCAAGTCTCTGATCCGTATAGTGAGTAACACTGACTTCCCATTGGAGTTGAAAATCCGGATCTTATTTTTGGAAATTTTACTATGATTTCTCCTTTTGGAACCAAAATTATTCATACCATATAAATAGGAATCAAGAAAGCAATCATATATGCACGACAGTATCCATTATTGCCCGACTGATATGAGTAATTGTGTACCACTCACATCATACGGGCGTCAATGGTAGAATGCTAGCCAACCACTCACGTGGTCCGAAGTTCAATCCGCAACAGACTTATTTCTAAACCTCACTTAGCCAGTAATATTCCCGGTAAGGAAGGAAAGTTCGGCGTGAGCCTTGCAACCCCATCCCACAAAAAATAAACATCACTTCTACTGAAACTTCAGAGCTCACGCATTGAAGCTCTGTGTTCTACTAGGAAAGCAAAGGAATTTATTAATAATAATAATAACTCACATCATATAGTAATGCTTGCTAGCCAGATCAAAGTGATTTAGACACGGAACGATCGTTTAGCTCATCCGGGACCGAACCCATCAGCTTACCACTTCGAATTCTGTAACTCGCAAATGGTCGTCCGGTGTTTGGATCACTTCAGTCTGTTTGATGTGAGAAGCATACAACTACTCACATCAGTCAATCAGTAGTATATGCTATCATTTAATCATCGACAACAATAATTATCAAAATATCTGCTAATTTGAAGCAACGGGTAAACCCTCATAAGTCCAAACTTTCATAGCCTATTAGTGTAACGGAATAACTGTTTTGAAAATTCCTCCTGAACAATCTAATTATAATAGGGATACTTATCTGGATGTTTCAACCAACTTTTTATTCGTTCTACAGTACTTGTTTTGTATTTAGAAAGTTACCTTTCCTGTATAGCTGCCTAGCAGCACTGTTCAGGTAATTTTGAGTTTTTGATATCATTATTGTTGGATAGTAAGTACCACATAGATTTATCGGCGAATAATCGTCATTTTGCTGTCTTTGGAACGTTTTGTGACTGTGCGTCTCTCAAGGAAGTTTCGGACAGCTGTAGAGTAGGACGCTAAGATCGGTTTCCTGCGTTCACACCACAACGATTCAGTTTTGACCGTTACAATTAGTTACTGAATCACACTGAATATATCTCTAGTCTTTCGATATATAGTTGGCTTATAATTGAAGGGAACATCAGCATAATCAAAGATTCAATGAAAACAAAACACAAGATAAACAGAACTAAACTAAAATGCAAGTCACCGGTGAGTTTCAAAGATTACCAGAACGCTCGTAAGATTTAGATATGATGGAGAAGATTTGTAGCTCAGGTGGATGATTATGAAGTGGTTGCGTTCTCTCAGACGAATAGTTAATTTGCGAAGCTTTCATCGCCCTACGAAGCAACATCTTCAGCGCATACTTCAGTTTGAAGTCAAATGAAAGCTTCCAAATTAACTATCCGGCTCAGAGAACACAACCACATCAAAATTACCAGAACGCATTTAACATTTCCTTAATTTTCAATAGTTGGTTTGTAAGGATTAGATTTGTTTATACGAGTTTGACCACGGATTGATATTAGTTAGAGAACCATTGAAAACCAACAGGGAGTACTGGACAGCTGTTTCATCCTAGTTTGGGAATCATCGGCAGTACGCACCCACCGAGGGTTCGAACCCAGGACCTTAATTGATATTATTTTAAAACGTTATCACAAGCCAATCCTTGGAATAGCCAGATGTTTAAATTAGATATATTTTCCTAGGGACACACTAAACACAACTTGAAAAAAAAATATCAACAAAATCTTCTTCTTAGTAATTCCAACTATCTCACCTTTTTGTTCAGTTATTAAGTGTTGTACGACAACATCTGTAAGGGATTCACGATAGGCAAAACGATCTTTATAAAAGCTTTGTACAGGTTCTAGTATTAATTGTATAGCCTCTATGGTTCCATCTTGACAACCAACAACCTAAATAGAAAATAAGAAAACATTTTATGCATAAAATAATTAACACTTCAGAAATGTAGCAAAATATTCAAATGATAGACTGCAAACTCGGTCACCGGATAACAACTAATCTAGCTGTCTAACCATAAGCTTGTTCACCAAAATATGTTTGTCAGATGTGAGAAGAAATTATGATTTAGTTGTGTTGTCTGAGCCGGTTAATTTAATCGCGAGGCTTTCGTCGTTCTTCTAGACAACATCTTCCTTCAGCGCAGGCTTTAATGGAAAGTGAACTTATTTGAATTCTCCATTATTGATATAGTTGTATCTCTTAACAACCATTGTCGTGACTGGGTGTTAATTTACATCTCTATTGATCATTCTTTTATTGACTTGGAATTTGAACTATTTTGTCATGTGGCTTATGCTTTATTATTTGGTAAATTTGATGTATAGTAATGTGTTTGTTAATCGCTGACTCATCTGAGTACCAGGCTTCCAGAGATTCCTTGTCATTACTTCGCGTGTTTCCTTTGTTTGAAATTTCTATATTCTCCTAATCAAGTTTGTGTCCACAACTGTCTATATACAGTGATATGAAAGAATACATATCGTGTCTTTTCATAGATAATTCACGTTCTTTGATTCTCGGTCGAAGGGAATGCCCACTTTGACCATTTCCACCAGCCTGCTGAAAACTCTTCTCAACACTTGCCCCTTTGAGGCTAGATAATGATGATGAGATGGGTAAGCAGAAAGGACAATCGACATGGAACTCTGGCATGCAGTGGACCAGCAGGCAAGAAACTATGACTCAATAAATATGCAGAAGAAAATGAAGACGAAATGGACACACGCTGATATAAGTAAGCCAATATAAATTATTATTATTTCTCGAGATTTCGAATAAACTAAGTGGATTATAAGTGAAAAGAAATCAAATCTTATCTAAAAGGCGGAGAGGCTACTATTTTAATCCTGATCACACACAATAAACTGTGGACTCATAGCTTTTCAAATCGAGGTTTTCAACTCATAATCTGAAGGTTTCGCGTTAGACCCCTAACGGTGAGGCCGTTGGTGGATACTGTGAAGAGTCTCAAAGTGGGACGAAACGGTTGTTAAGCCCTCTGTCATCTTCAGTGTTTCTCTAGCTAACATCAACCTGTGATCATCAAACTTGAACCAGAGAGTGGAAATTTACCAAATTCTCATAGAATCAAGTAGTCTGAGAAGAGTTGTTTTATCTTCAATCCCTCGTTGAATTTCATAAAATACAATAAAGTAACTTATTTAAACAAGGAAGCTATTTCATTCATTAAGAACTGATACAATAATAAAATATATGACAGAAAAAAACAAATAATCCGCTTACAATTTGATTATATCCTTGCCGCGTTGAACAACACCATATCCATGATTGTTGTTTATTAACACAGGCTAAACGCATACCTTCACTATTGTACAATTGACACGCTTTATTTGAACCACATACTGCTACTGATTCACACTTAGCACCGAACCAGGTTAAATTGCATGGATCAAAGCCTAGTGTACGATCTTTACCAGTCTGTTTATGTAATGCATTTAAAAAACAACAAGAAGTCTAATCATAAGCGATGTAATATATTTGTATTATTTATAAAATATAATAACTTAAAACATTTAAACAATAAATTAACAAGCAATTTGATACCTTTAAAGAAAGGGTTAATTGTTGACCTTTTTGACCATTTTCATTGGCAATCTATGAAATTAGAATAATGATAACAATAATTATTATTATTATTACTATTACTATCATTTTATTTCTGTACGTTCCGAATGGAACATCTAACTTCAAGATTGAGCTTTGAAACTTCAGCAGTTGTGGTGTTGTTTTCCTGACGGAGTGGGGTTGCTAGCTTCATTCCCAACCTTCCCAATTTACCAGCCTTACTACCGGCTTAGCGAGGTTTACGAGTGTGTCGGCCGGTGGTCGAACCCCGTACCACAGGCGTTATTGAAGAGCATTCTACCGCTAATAATAATAGTAGGAGCCATCGTCATTAAAACTAGTTGAGTAGAACTCATCAGTAGGCCTTTTATCAAAGAGATGAGAACACTAACTTGGTAAATGAACCCTGCTATACAAACTGTACCTAACCAGTTAACAGTTGTATATTCTGAAGAATAATACCTTGGAAATAACTTATTAACACTATTACTGTTATAATGCTATATCTTTTGTCACGAGGTCACTGTTTAACTACTGACCAGTGCCCACTTAACTGGTAAAGCAGAACACGCGAGAATCAGCGGTAAAACCAGGTTTTTTTATTATGACAAAAGTGACTGTATTTATACAGAAAATAAGGTAGACTGGAAATCAACCAATCCGGTCGAGAGTGGGAATTGTGCAAGAGTCCAATCAGAAGCAAGAACAATTGCATGTCAACGACTTGTTAATAACGTGATAATAACTTGACTGAGACATGATAATGACCTGATAATTGCATGTGTTTTGCCTCTTCCTTACAATTACATATACGCCATACTGGTTGATGATGACAAGAAGTGAAACCCAAGATGCTAATTTCACCCATCATGGATGCAAAAAATTATATATTTTCCTACTTTCCCCTACACTAACCAAAAATATTCTAATCTAATAATAAAAGTTTTATGTGTTGAATAGTCAAGTGGAAATGAATACTTAAATAATTTTATACTGGAAAGTTTACAGTCCCTAGTTGTTTGACCTTAGTAAATAGAAATTATCGCTCTCTGTTGCCATAGCCACCGGGAATTTAAAAAACCCTTCGATCATACTTTTAACTTTGACTTGATGTTATTTGATAGTTGGTGGCCCGTAATGGAATCTACCGAAGGGCGAGAAGCCACCGGTGATCGTTTCGAAACTATAGATTTATTTCACTGACTATATTGTCTCCTATTGTGGTGAGAGCTGTCTGCAAGCCAAAATTGCAGACAACAATTTACGTCAATGTTTACGTCCCGAATCGGGGTCATGAGAAAAAACAATAACAAAGCTTAACCTTGAGGAACTCACCAACCAATCACAGCAGACTTAACGTGTGCAAATATGATTCGCAGATATATGGCTTAACTCTCGAAGAAACGGTCACAAGCAGTACAGAATAACCTTCAGCAAGAAAACAACCAATCAGAAGAGGTTGCTTCTCCGCTAACAGTAACATTAATAATAATGTACATAAACATCTATAAATATCTCTTGATTTTCTCAATAAACTATCTGTTGCCTGGCCCTTGTCTTCTGTTGTTACACTACTATCTGTAGTGAACTGCAATTTTCGAAATGGACTAAATAACGGAACTCTGCATCGTAGTATAAAAAATTTTGGTGATGTTCAGGTTTGGAAGTTATCGTCGAGATAGCAAGGAATAATACATATAAACTGAAGTTGAGATGGCCAGCCAGAAACGAATAACAACAAGGAACTTTCAGAAAGAACCAGCCAAGAATATTTCTTCCAGAAAATACGCCGAAGAAAATTAAGATGGATTGGACATATGTCGGGGGAAACTGTTGTTGAGTGACATCGTGCACCATGCATAGCCTCAAATGGAATGCGGATGGAGAACGATGAGTTCAGCGTGGGTGCGAGGATGACATGGAAGAGATCATTTGAGGAGAAGACGAGAGTTTATGGACAATTATGGGGCCAGACTAAGAGGACTGCAGAGGACAAGATGAAATGTGCCGTTGAAGCTCTGTGCTCCACTCAAAACCTAAGGGAATGATAACGTATATATATATATATATATATATACATTCTTTTTCTATCATTACTGAAGTTTGTTTTTTTGTTTTCTTTCGCTATAGTAAAAGAAAATTTCGAATTATGTCTACTCACTTGTCTTCCATTTAACTGATAAAATGACAACTTTTGACTCCAATCGACAACTGCAAGTACTTCACCTTGTTCATTTCTAGAAAGTAAAAACGGCATAATGGTAAGAAGGAAAAACAAGTAGAAGTTTAATCGAATATATAATAGTTGGTAAAACTACTTTGATTAGACCCTATATCCAATCAAAGTATCCAATACAGTCCTACAAGAGGTTAGTAGCGAACCTGAATAACTCAGTGGTAACACTTCTGTGATTGCAGAACTGGGTGACACAGGTCTGAATCACAGAGGATATGTGAGTTCCTTCAAAACTTCAAATACTCCTTGCTAACTGGTGAGTGCCAACAAGTATGAAACCTAGGTTCAAAGCTTCCTGCTGATTGCCTCTAACCATCCTGAGATTAATGAAAACAAAACACGTAGATCAGCGAAGAGTCTCTTTTCGACGAATTCATTTTCTTAGCTGTACAAACGCAAATATATATGTGTTATTTTGTATGCATGTGTACATTAGGTTGTTTGTCAAACAAAAATACAATTGGTTATAGTTATTTTAACTAAACAGGTGAAGAGTGGTAATTGGAGTTACGTAATACAAAAGCGGTCAAGAAAATTAGGTGTTAGTGAAATTAGAGTAGTAACAAAGGTGATGAGTTGTCACAAACAGTTTTTAAAAGAAGTTATGTAATAATATGAATAGTTTGATGGGTGAGTTTTACTCAGGATGCACATAGGAACAAAGTAGATAATATGAAATTACGTAAAACTCACTCATCGGACTATTCATATTATTACATAACTTCTTTTAACAACTATTTGTGACAACTCATCACCTTTGTTACTACTCTAATTTCACTAACACCTAATTTTCTTGACCGCTTTTGTATTACGTAACTCCAATTACCACTCTTCACCTGTTTAGTTAAAATAACTATAACCAATTGTATTTTTGTTTGACAAACAACCTAATGTACACATGCATACAAAATAACACATATATATTTGCGATTGTACAGCTAAGAAAATGAATTCGTCGAAAAGAGACTCTTCGCTGATCTACGTGTTTTGTTTTCATTAATGCCTGGATGGGGATTATACATGAATTGAAACGTAGCAAGGACCCCAATCTGAGATTGTCTTAGATAGAGAAATAAGATAGTGATATAATGGGTAGTGACTGAATGGTGAGGTGAAAATATCGGCTGTAGTAGCATCTGTACTAGTCTATCTCCATTACTACTGAGAAGCTGACCACAATATTAATTCACATTGTTATTATTACTGTTCCCTTGGATTCCGTCCGAGTGGAACACAGGGCTTCAAAAGAACATCTCCATTTCATCCTGTTCCCTGCAGTCCTATTAGGCTGGCCCCACAACTGCCCATAGGCTTTCATCTCCTCCTCTCACAATCTCCTACATGTCACCCTCGAGCCAAAGCCCAGCTCATTTCTTCCTATTCGGGTTCCACTCGAGAACCCACCTAGCGCGCGATGTCACGAAACGGTCTCCTCAGTGGGTACCCGATCCGTCTCCATTGTCTTCGGTATATTTCTTTTGCGATTGGACACTGATTGGTTCGTTCCCAGAGTTTCTTGCTACAAATTCTTTCTGGTCCGCTGTCTGATCTTCAATATGGAGCTAAAGAAGGCAACTGTTGATATAAAGTTTGCAGTAGCCTGTTCAGTAAGTTTTCCGTGATGCGAGTGCCAAGTTTCTGACCCACATAAAAGAACTGACTTAACATTGGTGTTGAGTGCAGAAGATTTTCAAGCTGAAGGTCAGCCTCCACTTTCCGATCCCGATTTTGATATCCACATCCGTCCCGACTGCCTGTATTTAAAACAATACTACCTAGGTAAGCGAAGGGAGTGATGTCTTCCAAATTTCTCCCGTTGATAGTGATTGGTGCCCACTGCTGTTGTTAGTTGGTTGTCTTCATAACCTCTGTCTTCTCTGTGTTCACTTGAAGTCTTATCTTCACCACCTACCTCTTCTGCCAACTTGTTGGTTTTAACCTGTAGATCTTCGACTGTGTGTGACATTAGACATAAATTATCCGCAAAGTACAGATTTTCTAAAGTCTTCTTGTCAGTTCAACGTATTCCTGTCTTCTCGCTCCCCACTCACAATGTGCCGCATAATTCATTCCACCACAGTTAGGAATATCACCAGTGATAGTTGGCAGTCTTGTCTTACTCCTGTCCGCGCTTCAGAGGTTTCGCTGAGTTTTCCGTTTTGGATCGCCTGACACATGGCACTGTCATGTTCCGAGTGGAACATGGAACTTCTAGCCAGCCGAGAATCATGCCCTGATACCGTGCGTGGATGGTGAACATTCTACTCCTGAACCACCGATGCACACACAGCATATGAGATTTCGGAATGTGTCCACTGGGAATAGAATCCAGATCTTCCGCGTGGCTGGCCAGCATTCTACAACAAGAACTTCATATTTTATATTTATTCGGAATCATAGAACTAATACATATACACATTTAGCTGGAGGATTTCATCATGAGTTGACATTAATTAGAGAACCAATCGAGAACCAGAGTGGAGTTTCGCACAGCTGTTTCGTCAGCCTAATTTGGGACTCTTTAGCAGTGTGCACCCGCCACCAGGGTTCGAACCCAGGACCGTGTGGTTACAAGGCAAGCTCATAGACCAATGGCCAGTCCATGAATTCCGACCTCTGAAAATTCATGACATAGCGCAACCACTTCGCAATTTCTTCTTCGATGAGTTACTGCCTCACCTTCAGCCTGCTCTACCCTACTGGTCACGGCTTCCCACTAGAACCTCAGGTAACTGCCTGAATAGGGCCAGTCACTAGTGAGAATGATAAAATGATGTAGCCAGCAGAATGTTAAATAGACATAGAAATCTCTTACATTTGTTTTCACAAATAAAATATCAAATTTTTCTCATTTAAGCATCAATGAAGTGAGTTAAGAAAGGACGAAAATCTACCAAGAAAATAAAGAACTGGGAATGCGAAACTATCAGAATTTATAGAAGGCATACAAACTACTCTACAATGTTTATATATAGGTGAATTTTTCAACCATGATTATCAGTGCCATTTACGGAGGCTGGCTTTCAAGACTGACTTTCAGGTTTCTCACAGATGCACTAACACAATCACTATCTATTAGATGGTTGGAGGAAATCGGCTGGAAGCCCTGAACCTAGGTTTCGTGCTTACTGACTCTCATCAGTCAGGAGTGTGTCCGCAATCTTGAAGGAACTTATGTCCCTTCAAACCCATGTCAGCCAGTTCTACAGTCAGAGACGTTACCGCTGAGCTGTTTGGGTTCGCGACTGACCTCATGTAGGACTGTACTGGATACTTTGATGGACACTAGGTAGTAACATTGCAAAAGTGATGTATAGAATTCAGTCTGCACCAAACAAAGGACTAGACCAATGACACTAGTTACTTACTGTCCAGTATCCTATTCACCCTTTACTTGGAATTATTTTGAAATCCACATGTCCTCTAAGTAATTTTTATCATTCTTTATCTCACAGATAGATAGATAGGTCCACAGGGAACACTTTACAGAAGGTCAACAACTCTTGATGAAAAACTGCGAAACAATGTTAGTAGAAGAAAAGAAGTGTAACAGTATATTAATATCAAAATACCTTCCGAAAACTAAGGAAACCTTTGAACAGTGACTAATATTTTCAGATGTAACTACCAATGAAAACGGATGAAATGCAAAAACTCTTGTGATCCAGACCAAGTCAAAGAATATCGATCTAGGAGTGCAAATGCGCCAGAGCAAGTTAGTGAAACCAGATAAAAGTCCCTGTATTCTGGAAGAAAGATGCAAGAAGTCTGAGACCATTAGACAGTATATATAGTTAGTTTAAGATTAAGTTAGGAAAATATCAGGGTTAGGGTTCAGGTTAAGTTACAGAACGATTGGAGGTGTTTAGGGTTAAATTAGAGTTAGTTAGGGAGGGATTAGGTCGCCTTTTGAAATCGACCAGTCGTTTCAAGGTCGTTGATGCGTTTGTTCGCTTTGATCGTAATTCTTTAACTTTACCGTTATCTAATCTCCGTTTTCTCTTAAACCTATAAGCTAATAACCAAGGGCACAATACTGACGATAAACAATCACTTGTAAGCAAACATGATGAATAATTTTCATGAGATACTAGCTGAAATGTTATAAATTTCGCTTTATCATTAGCACAAATTTACAAAATCAGCTACAGTAAGCAACATGATGATCAATTGACAATACTGAACATCGGATGCTGATATGTTCCATTTAAAGAGTACAAAAGCCTTCCAGTTGAAAGCCTACAGATCATCAGAAATCCTTGATTAAAACCCTTCAATTTTCAGAGGTAAACAAGACGCTAGATATAGAATTCAGTCAGCAACCAACACTAAATGACAAGACATATAACCTTAACTACTCCTCAGTAATCAATCAATTTACCCATCTCACTCCAACAAGAGGTATTCAGTGAGCTTGAAAAGTTCAATGGTAACGTCTCTGACAGCAGCTAAAGGTGATGCGGTTTCGAAAATTGCAGAGGATGTGAGTCCCTTTCGAAGTTTCAGATACGTCTTGTTGATGAATGATAATGCGCATGACACCTAAGTCCATGGATCCTGACCTCTACTTCCAACCATCCAATATATATATATATATATATCGATTTCCTGACTACCTCTAAATATTATGTTTCACTGCGATACACTCACATTTTTATTAGATTTTTATCTCTATACTACTCAGGACGATATACTGGTCAAGTACATCATCAACCAAGATGAGGCAGTGTATTTACTAGCTGTCATTATCGCCTAACAATCAGTTTATGACCACATATTTCTCAGCAGCTTAACAAAGTGAATTAATATTTAAATAATGGGACTTGTGAAGATTTCGATTAGTTAAAGAGATCAATGAAAACCAAAGAGCACTGGACGGCTGTTTCGTCCTAGTCTGAGACTCTTCGACAGTGCGTACTCACTACCTTATCGCTAGGAATGAAACCTTGGATCTTTAGGTTACAAGACCAAGCTTGTTGACCATTCAACCATTTGGGCCGGAATTCAAGCATCCATGAATTAAAGGAGAATTAATCCATGATTATCTGTATTATATTACTAAGAATCGTTAAAAGTAGTCAACTGGTTTTTGGTGAAATTCAGCCTATTCAATATCATCTACGGATATTTAGTGTTAGTACTTCAAAATTGCAAACAGAGCACTTGAATACAATATTTTGATTATCTAGAGGTGTAAAGCTATTCATTATATCATTCCGAGGCATTAGATAAAAAAGTAATAATTAACATAAGCTTTAAAACAGGAAAACACTGGTTTCAATATTATTAAAGTGAAATTCATAATTGTAAAACTTTATTATTATTATTATTCCCTTGGATTCCGAGTGGAAAATAGGGCTTCAACAGAACATCCGCATTTCATACTGTTCTCATCAGTCCTCTTCAGATGACCCCAAGATTGCTCATAACCTTTCATCTCTTCCCCACACGATCTACTTTATGTCGTCCTAAGACCCACACCCATCTCGTAGTCTTCCACTGGAGGCTCTGCCTCGTAGCATTTTCACTCACAATCTCTACAGCGTGTATCCGAACTGTCTCCACTTTCTTCGTCATATTTATTGAGCAATAGGTAGTGTTATTCAAGAATTTCTTGTTACTAATTCGTTCTGGTTTGCCATCTGATCTTCAGTAAGGAGCCAGAGAAGGCTGCTGTTGATCACAGTCTGAAGCATAAATCTTACGCGTGCTCAATCTTGACCATAGTGAATAACTGAAGTGTGTTGAATTGATTTATCAATCAGATGACTTCAACTGATTTAGAGTGATGAGGGTCTGTCTTGTCTTTCCGATTGTGGTTTTCAATTCTTCTTCTTCCGTTCCGCCTGCATTTAATTGTTCAGATCATATGTAATAACTTCAAATGGTGTAATTATTCGTTTCATAGCAGAGGTTAGAATGAACAGAAAGTGTTTAAGTAACAATAGGTATTCAATGAAATTCGTAGAAAAAACGAACGTACATTACTGTCAAAAGAAGTTAGTTTTCTGTCATTAGGATTTAAAATTTTTGAAGTTATAAACAGAACTGACAGATATATAAGAGATGAAGTACTGAAGACCCAAACAGAACTTAAACCGGTCCTCCTGTATATAATATAATGCCTTCAACTCTAGATGGACACGCTGAGATGTTTTGTACAGGTCTACCGTCAGACCATTTCATAACCAATTACTACCCTGGTATTTTTTACCCTCTTCCAATCTGAGCCTCCAAAGTTTTATACTTCATTTTATTTTTCTCTTTGAATGAGCTGACTAGGTGTTTATTTCTAGTTCATTTTTACCGAATAATTTCTTTCACATAATTTATTTGTCAGTATTTTCCCTGCTCACTTATAATTTTGTTTAGACGACCCTTCTTTCTTAAGACACAGTAATTAATTCTACGTCACACTCGATCTTCGAATTTGAAAATATTCTTCTCCTTGCTTTATAGAAATGTCTCCAATATAACAAGGATCTTATCATACCGATTTCTTGTATACTATAAACAATGTATTTATTTTTACGTGTTTGACCACGGATTGATATTAGTTAGAGAACCATTGAAAACCGACAGGGAGTACTGGACAGCTGTTTCATCCTAGTTTGGGAGTCATCAGTAGTACACACACACTGGGGTTCGAACCCATGATCTTCCGGTTACAAGGCAAGCTCGTATACCATTCAGACACTGGGACCTGATTCAGTGGCCAGTCAATGAATTTTAACTTCTTTCAATTTGTGATTTAGCGCGTGTGAGGATGGATTTCCCACCGATGATATTGGTTGGTGGTCGCGTTAAATCAGGAATTGGTAGAAGTTAGAATTCATGAGCTGTCCAGTGAATCGGATCACAGTGGTTGAATGGTATTCGAGCTTGCCTTGTAACCGGAAGATCATGGGTTCGAACCCCAGTGGGTGCGTACTGCCGATGACACCCACACTAGGATGAAACAGTTGTCCAGTACTCCCTGTCTGTTTTCGATGGTTCTCTTACTCATATCAATTCGTGGTCAAACTTGTCCTTACAAACCAACTATTGAAAATGTATTTATTTGTTACTATTGTATATCTCTCTCCTACTCTGGTATAAAGTTATTGGTTGCTTCCAAATAATCTTAGTAATACTATGCAACTGAAGCAGATACCTTTGTTCCATACTCAAAATCCAGAAAAAAAGGAACTCTGCTATGTAACAAACCATCCAAGAACCTATCGCCAAACGAATATGTAGAAGGAAATGGAGATGCATTGAACCTACGCTGAGTAGGGCGTCAGGTGGCAGTGTACTCTAGACCAGTTCTCGAGTGGAACGCGAATAGGAAACGACAAGTTTGGCATAGCTTCTTGGGTTACATGGAAAGATTGCATGAGGACAAGATAAAAGCTTACAGGCAATCGTGGCCTCAAGTAAAAGGGACTGCGGGTAACAGAGTAAGACAGAGATGTGCTGCTTAAGCCCTATGTTCCACTGGGAACCCAACAGAATAATGATAATAATAATACAGTGGAAGCTGAGTAAAACTATTTTCTTCAGATATCAAGAAACAGAAAAACGAATTCTCGTGTAGATTTATAATTTTTATTTAAAATAGTGCTGAAATAACACCAAAATTCACTGGAAGTAGCGCATATGCAAAACTGTTGGTCTGTAGTCTGACAGTGAAAAATCTTGCATAGAGAAAACAAAACATATCTCCATCCTTCAAAGTCTTTCTGCGAGTGCTAAGTATTATCAGGAATTGAAACTCTATCTGGTTAACAGTCGCAAGCAAAGTATCAGCCCCAGATTCATCAGACTTTACCATACTTTACCAACGATGTCAAGAAACTGACTAGCATCTCTAGATTTAATTACTTTTAGTTAATGAATTTTCTACCATCTAAATGCCTAATTTTTACTTCTCTTTAAGGTTCTACTTAAATCTATGAAGAATAACTTACTTTGATGGATTCCATTTAAGATGCCATATAATTGGATTACCAGGACGTTCAATTTTCACTACTTCTTCAGTAGCCTAAAAGTATATTAAAACAAATTTTAGGAATTTCCTTCAAATAAAACGTTACTTATGCACAATCACATGTATAATGGGAAATGAAAGCCTTAAAACTTATAAGATTTATTATTTGTAACAATAAATTAACTAACCAACTGCTGTATATTGATTGAAGAGCACTGTTTCTAATATGTGTTGGTCGTACTGATGAAAGCCCTTTTCGTATTATTATTGTTATTATTAAATCGAAAACTTGATACATTATGGGCACCAAGACAAGCTCCACACAAAATCTCATATTTTATGCGATACTGCTCAGACCCTCAAACCGAATCAGATGGTTGTCTTAAGGGGCAATCCCCTCACCAGCCTTTAACTTGAAGTTTAATCCACAAGGCAGTTGAGCAGCGTCAGCAGCTACGTTCCCATGGCGGCTGAGAACCAGAACAGATTCATACGTCATTTAGTCCTTTCAGATTCTAGAGCCCATGTACACCATAAGTTTGGAATCAGAGTTTTCTAGCTCACCTAGGAAGGCCTGCATGTCCACCAGTTCCCTTGTGAGCGACAGATATATGCATTCGCCCTTTCGCTTTTGTGAGGAACAACCCTTGTGGCGCGTGAAGGCGATGAAAATGACTTACCTGGCACAGGATATGAAAGTGTGTCCATATTCCTAAAGTTTTATTTATCGTTCATACACAAAGTCAAGTCTATAAACGTATTCTAGAACACTGTACAGACTGGCTAGCCAGAGGAGAATAGAAGAATACTAGCAGCTCTATACTCGAACACCTTGTAAACCCTGGACATTGAGCACACTTGCATGAATGTTTCACAGTGCTACACAGAGTCCCTCAATATCATACGAAAAGACTTCAAATACGCCATCTGTACATAGCTGAATCATTGGCTATTCGGAATCTGAAACCGAACTTCTGCATTCAAAAGCATTACATACATTCACTCTCCTTACCATGACCAGAGTAACGTTCTTACTACAGTTTTGCCTCATTTTATCATATAAGTTCACTATTACTATTATTTTATTATCATTCTATTCCTGTTTATTAATAACAGTGCATTTTAATACAGATTTTATCAAAACACTTTATTGTCGTTCCACTAGTTCTTGTCCACCCCACACAATCATGTCGATTAGTCATTTTCTCACACTTACTACGTCATGCCAACTTCTGCCCCTTTTCCAATTTCTAAATAGTCACCCCTTCTAGATTACACTTTACATTACGTAGTATGTTTTCGAGGACAATTTCCCCAGTATCTGATTGATCTTATGAATTCTTTGTTAAATATAATTACGATTGTACAGCAGCTTATGAAAATGAATCGTTAAAAAGAAAATCTTCTTCGCTATGTACCTCTTTTTCTTTTTCTTATATCCTCCATACATTTCAAAAAGTTTATGCAGTAGATTCAAGGAGATATCTTTACTGTTTATCTAAACGGCTACATTTTAAAAGCAAAATTATTTCTATAACTAGACAACAACAAAATTATATACTCGGGATCTAGAAAACTACCCGAATAAAAATTTATGCGACATAATGTGTAGTGACAGCTGTTTCAAAGGTGTATGCATGCAAATGTATGCTTTATAATTGGTTATATTTGTGATTTCAGTAAATGAAATAATTAACTTTATATAAAGTCAAATTTCTGTTAGCATTTGAGCGTCATACAGCACCGTAGGCAAGTTCTAGTACTAGTTTTTCAACTACAATTAGATTACGATAATTAAAAGTATTACTGGAACCTTCATACTGAGATATTTCAAAAAAGGTGTCAAACGTTTGGTCTAAACACTGAGAAGCAGCAGCATCCTCAGTTCCCGGAAAAATCTTCATCATATCAATATAATGAAAACAGCTCAATGAAATGTTGGCTTTAAACCAAATAAAAGTTGGACAAAATCATGTGCACTTTGATACATAAACATGATGGCTAGGCTTTGCAGTACTTTATGAAAGTAAGAGCTTATGAAATGGCTAGGAAGTGAATTCTGTCTAATATTTTCACTTGTAATTTGTAGTAAAATAACTGCATAGCTTAGGTATTGGATCACAGGGAAAGGAATTTACATGACAGTTAATTGAGCCCTATATCTGTCCTCGGATTTCATTAGGACACTCAATAAATATGCATAATGTCAAAGGTAACAACCATTTCACTTTCTACAACGAAACGGTTTGTCTATGCACACTAGTTCTAAATTATCTTTCTATGTTTGAGGATGGAAACTGTATTCCACATATTTGCAAACTGATATTCAAATGGCTGAGAAAGTCCTGTTGTCTGTCAGAACTTTTATCAACCGGAATAATTCGTCCGCAAAAGTAAAAAAGTAGGAGAACATCAGTCAAAGTAATATAAGGACAATTTAAGAAATCATTGTTGGACAGTGTTTAAACAATTAATCTAGGTGTTTATACATTCTTTAAACAGGTTTGTACAACAATATCATTTGACACATCTGGGGAATCAGCTGGAAACCCATACGGCGGCAACTCCTAAACACCCTTAAGAGTGAAATGACTACATAGTCCAACTTATATATATATATATATATATATAATGGAGTGTTCTATTCATACTGGCGTTAAGAAAATTAGGTCGCAAGAGGATAGTCCTCATTTTCCATACGTAAAAAAGCAATTTTAGCAGTCCTTCTAACTGTGACAGTTTACCATGATTACGATAAAAGTTTTAAACAAAAATCAAATGGAGGTAGTAATAAACCAGCCAGGGAATCTATACGTATACGATGAAAGGAAGTCCATGTATCAAGTTGTCTACTCTACCAAACCTTCACTAACACCTAACATTCTGCACAAAAGTGTAACAGAAAATAATAGAATTTATTGCATAAATTACGACATTTGTGAAAAATTTAAAATAGTGGCATACAATTAAATATATATACAGAAGTAGCTGTTAATTTTTGAGGCTTATGAGAATGAATTTTTAGTAAGTAATGATATTTCAGTTCCACTTATAACTACTTTTCAAATCTCCAACATCTTAGCCATAAAAACCAATCCAATATCCAATAAATTTCTGTTTGTTTTCAGTCAGTATGTATAAAAGTGTTTCAGTTAACGAAGCACCAACATAATTTATGTTAGCTTATATAACAAATAATCCACCTCAAACTCATCCTTTAAAGATAAATAAGAAAATATATACCTACTCACTTTGTTCCGAATACTTATCACACCATTATAAAGGCCTATAGCCAAGTACTGTCCGTCAGATTTCCAACTACAACAAGTGGGTCGAGCAGATATTTTTGTTTTAACAACAGACTTCTGATCCATAGTCCAGAAGCCTAGAAGTTATTAGTAATTAAATTAGTTTAAACGAATTTTGGTACTCAAACTAACCGAAATCACTGAAGCTACAACTTGTTAAAAGCACAGTCGTGGGATTAAAAGCCAAGCATTGTATTGACTCATTATGCCTATTATGGTACGCGAGATTAGCAAGAAAGGATGTTCTTACATGTATTTTAACAAACCCTCCAAAGTATTTGACTTCCATATTATCACACACTTGTCAGCTGACCCACTCCCAAATATACTGGAATCATGTGCGTATGCAACACAGTAAACTGTCTCTTTATGTCCTTTGAGACTCTTAATCAAACTAGCATCATCTGCCCTATACACCCACACCAAGTTTCCAGACGCTACTATTAGCTGTGACCCATCTGGACTGAAGCATATATCCCACACGCTAGAAAGTTTCCGGTTATTGTTTTATTATAATAATACCAGTAAGAAACTCCATCTTTCCCCTTGACCTTGAAAGACCAAACTTGCGCGGTATCCATACCATCAGTTTATTTACAAACATAGGTCAGCGGACTCACCTTGAAAAGTAAATGCAATAAACAAGACGTTAGTGTGAATATCATAGTATTGTAGTGAAATATATCTGAATATACAACTGCTTGGCTTTCATAAGGATGGAGGATAAAATACTGATATATTATTAGTTTTCAATAGCAATATCTTATTTATAGAACATAGGCATTTCATTTCTACAGTTATCTTTTAGATGTATTGAGCCTGAAATGTCCAAATTCAGTAAAACGTGCTCAGATCATCTTCTCTAAAAGAGAATTACGCTGGCTCACAGTTCGACCTGAACCATCCTGCTATGGAAATGTACCAAGTTCGAAAACCGTCTCATTAGTTTACTCCCCACCATGTAGACTTTTTATGACATATCTGTTGTACTTACAATATAGAATGAGTTCCTGGCTTTCTGAGTACAGATAACTCCCAGTAAACGTTCCGCATAGTGTCTGCAATATATCTTCATAGAAACTCATAGAAGCAATATGAAGGTAGCGTATTGCTTTGCAACAATTAAGGGATTCTGCTCAACACTTTGTTACAGACTTGCGGTATACGATGGCCACTAATTTTTGACAGTAAATAGCTTTCGGTGCGGCAAGTTTGCTCTGAATCAATCAATCAGATTTCCAAAGACATTTGTCTTCGGAGATCATTTACTACATCTTTCAACCTGTGTAAATCTACTTACATGACTAACCTAACATTATTATTATCATAAAATGCCACGAAAAGCTTGGTAGAATGCATGGGCAAGATACATGATGGTTCCACATGAAATATACCTCCGTAATTATAGTAACAGCAGAAAAGTTTGAAGAATGGTGTCTTCATTAGTTGCTCATTACGGATCATATACAATTAACCCTTGAACTGTCTTTTATCCCTAAAGTGCTTTAGTCTAGTCCATAACGACTTTGCCAATTTTACAGCTATCCAGGTGTGCCAAAAGACCTGGATGTGTAAACTCAACAGAACTTGTTGCCGCAGATGACAGTCAGTCGGTTGAAAATAACCTGCCGTGAAATAATCTTGTCCGACAGGAAAAGGTAAATTCCTTCAGCAGACTGGATAATTTCATTACAAATATACTTACTAGAGTATCCGGAATAAATTTCTTAGGCAAATTCCTATGGCCAGTTTAGAAGAACGGCGCCTGTTCAGTCTTTTGTAGAGAAATAGTGAATAGCATCGATGTCTAAGCTATTGTCTAAGCCAAAGCTGACAATATGACTGAGTGAAGTAGGTATGGGTGACTAGATTTGCAAGGATTGGTCTTTAGAGCCGGTTTCAAGATGAATTCCCTATTGACGCGAGACATTTTCACTCCCAAATTATCCTCCCATATGTTCATTTCATCTTCACTACAGTCATCCGAAAATGCTTGGCTAAAATGGTATAGCTAGTTCTCAATCTTATTCAAACTACCACTAGATGTATTCATTAATCTCACACCGAGAGGACTAGAAAAAGAATCATTTCAAGTGGCGCTTCAGCTGATAAATCAGAAAACACTTCGGAACTTTTGAAAATCCAGGACCAAAATTATTAGCCGTTTACTACTGGAATACGAGATTATGTATATCAAGTTCAGCAAATTTAAGGAGATTGTTCTTCTAAGCGGTTTATGTGTGACTTCAATTAATTTGACATATAACTTTGGATACCAGTTGGTGCCAATTTCACTCTGCATACCTCCCTCAAGTATAGGTAAAGAATCAGGTTGTTTCCACATATAAGGTGGTGCTGCCCAAGCTCTTCAACATTATTTGTGACGACGATTGAGCGCTGGAAGGTTCAAAAGTCTTCTATGGACTAAACGGAAGATCGTTACACAGATACACAACAGAATAAATAATGTTAAAATGGTCAGCATGAATTCAACAAAAAGTGATACAGTTTTTGAAAACAAACCTTAAATAATAAGTGCCAGCCTATATGAAGACAATCAGTCTTCCATGTAACTCGCACAACTAGGGCTAGCACTCACCGAGGCGGAGGAAAACCAAGAATTGCAACCAAATAATGTCGTGCTAGATCTTTCAGGTATTGGGAAGAATTTTCACACTGGAGGATATTAGAATTCTAGCGCTAAAAATCCAGTTTAAATTTCTCTCCATATATACTCGCACACATTCCCATTAACTCGATTAAAAATCCCATCATCAGTAAAATTATGACAACAGAAATGGTTAGTACGACCTACATCTAATAAATGAAAACCAGACTCTTCATGAGGACTAAATCCTGTGATTATTTGTGGTATCAGTGCTAAATTTCAAGCCTTTGCGATTGCCTTTGCAAAATCGAGAAGAGAAAACTGCACTATTTAGTGTCTTTTACTGACTTAATTGCGGAATGTGCTTGAACTTGTCTATTAAGGAGTGATAGCTTATATCCTAATGGAATTACTTTAAGTTTTTCTGGGACAGATACAAAGTAGTCACGAATAATGAGGGTATTCGCTGTCCGATAACATGAACTTGTCCAACCCCTTGCATGTCATTTAGGTGGTTTGGTTTTGGAACACCCGAAAGAACTGCGGTTAAACTTCAGATAAGAAGTTATTCATATGAGGACAATCTAATTCAGAGAGGGCTGAAACAGAAATTGCCAGGTCAATGATAATATTGAATTTAAGACAATATGTCATGCGAAAAGGAAGGTAACGGAAATATGAAGGTTCATAGTGACCGGAAAAATAATAATCAACTGGCGATCTTGGAGTCCTTGAGCTCTGAAGTCAGCTTACTTTACAGAAATAAATTAAGGAGACGAAAAATGGTGGGGAGCATGCTATGATAGCACCCGCATGCATTCTCTCTGACTATCATAGCACTTATTTCTTATAGCCAAGGAACCGTTGTAAAACCAAACAAGAAAGACAATTTGAATCTCAAAAATGCGAAGAATATTTAGTCATCAGAAAATTAGGGCAGTGTCACCTGCTTAGCTGAGTAGAAAGCTTGCACGAGCAACACAAAGTGCCACGGAAGCTCCTCGAAGTAGCTGGGATGCCTGACCGCGTACCCTCGGCTTAACCAATAAACTTAAAACAGTGTCGGTGAGCATCCAGTGTTGAATGATGAGAGCTTTTGGCTAGTAATCATCTACTACTGTAATTGTATTTGAATACAGACACCATACTCGGTATCTCCATGTGAAATGCGGACAATATTATGATGTGAACTGATGGCGGTCTGGTAATCAACACTGACATCAAGATAACAACTAAAACTGCCGACAGGTTATGTACATAAAACATCTCTGGTTGGCAAGTGAGGCGAGGGTGCCTAGTCAGACATGCAGAAGGGCACCTTTCATTTAGCAATCTTTCACAGAGAGAATAAATCTTGCACGTCGTGAAGAATATATAATCCTCACTTGATTGCTCGTCTTTTCCTTCTAAATGGACTAATTATTAACTGCCTACTAAGTGACCATAGGGTTAATGGCATGTCCTGTGAGGTGTAGTGGCTACAGCAATACCCATAATACTACTGAATTTATATGCTAATTATTCTGGGTCACTTCAATTTCCCGGCGAAGGTTTAAACAGAAGTCATTTGATTTTTATACTGCTTTTAAAAAACGAAATGGAATGACAATGGACCTTTGCCTTAAATTTGATCAGGAAGTTGTAGACTTGTTTACAGATAAAATTTTTAATACGACAGGATTACGTGGCTATGCAAATAGTGCCTGCTATTTGTATTATGGACTTTATAAGGGGGTTCAATCTAATAACATTAGAATTACAACCCAATTTAATAATAATATATTTTCATTATTTGTACATGAGGGACGCCAGTTTAAAGGCATCATCAATATGATAGATTATATATACGATTAATAGGCATATTTAATAATAATAATTTAATACCATGCATATTTATTCCTTATTTGTTACCAATTGCACAGGCATGGATAAGTATTATTTAAAGTTCATAAACTTGGTTTATGGTGAAATTGTGTGGTTGCTGTCTTATATGTTTTTGGTTCGTGGGAACAATCTGCTACCCGGTCCTTAAATGGAGCACATTGAGAAATATAGAAATTTTGTCTTCGTATTAACAAAAGACCCAAGTATGTTTTGGATGGATTACAAATACTTGGGAGAAAATAAAGCTTGAAGTCATTTTCCTCATATAACTTTGGTGTATACGGCGTCAAACCTTATTCTTGATTTATATCCAAATTGGGTATTAATTCGAAAGAAGTGATATGCTAGTATAATTTTGTCGGCATTTTCATCGTAAATAACACCAGAGAGGTAATTGTACTCAATGCAGACTAATAGTAACAGTAATTTTTATTTTCTTATAGACTGTTGTTTGTAAGAAATGAATGCCATTTTTACTGGCACGATCAGCCATGTTATAGCTTACAATCCTGAAGTATTATAAATTATTACTTTTTCATTGGTATAAAGGTATATTCCACAACTGTAATCCAGGATGCATCGTCAGGGAAGGTAATGGGTAATTCACGAGACAGTTGTAGGATATGGGACCAGTAATGTTTGCAGATAATTTGTCAATTTAAGCGGTCAAAAATGTACATTCTTTATTCTCATTCAAAAGTTCACATAGAGGTCAAATTAGTTAGCTTGTAGTAGAAAATGAGGTTTAGCTTGAGATGTCTTTTCCAGAGTGGTTCTATTTTCAGTCTGCTGCGACG